TTTGCAATCGTTAGATAAGCTATCTAGCTGATCTCCTGCTACCTGATGTAGTCTCAGCCTGCTATTTCTCTGCCATCTTGACTCCTCCCAAAGCATTTTATTTTTTAGTATTCATTAGAATTCTTCAAAAAAGTTAGCAGTCTTTTGTGAACAAATTTTATTATGCTTCATTTTAAATGTGAATTATATGACTGTTTTCCTTAATAATGGTTTGAGTTCATTTCACTTGGAAATTGTTTTTGTTTTTGTTTACCATTTGGCATAGAAAGGACTAAAGGAGACTTATATTGGTTGCATCTAGACAAAGATACTTAAAATACATGAGAAAAATGAAGTAAAGAAAAGTAAGAGTAGGAAAATAAGTCTAACAAAAGAGGTGATAGCAATGATAGCTTTCCTTTATAGAGGAGGTCTGAAAAGTGGGTCCTGAGTTTTCCTGCAACTGATTCAAGGAGAGAAATATCCCATTTAAGGGACTTGTGTTCTCTATGAGATAAAAGCAACCAGTTTTTTCAGGAGCACTGAACTGTTCCTCATAGTGAGGTCAGGGAAAATGTCTCCAATCTCAGTGAAGGGGCAGGGTATAACATGAAACATGACCTCAACACCTTCCTTTCAGTAATTGTAGTGACCTAGGTTGTTTTAGGAAGAATAAGTCAACATAGGAGTCACTGGTAAGCACACTAAATCACCTCTAAGTGGTGTGTGTGTGTGGCACACTGCTTTTTAAACCATTAAGTATTTATGTTGTTTTGTTTTGAATTTACTTTGACACAACCACTTTTCAAAAAAGTGTGTGGGGAAAAATCAGATTCACTCCATATATGCCAGTTTCTCCATATTACATCGTCGACAAAGAATTTCTATTATCTTGAAAGAAATTTATCTGTGTAAATAAGAGTCAGTATCAGATCCACTGAACCACCAGCCTGGGAGCTCATTGCTTTAATTCCAAGCACAGTGTAATTAGTCAGCTTTAGTTTTTTACTCTATGTTCAGCCTAACAATTTATCATATGCATGAATTAATGTCTAATATATGCTTGTATTATGGGTGTCATTAGAAATATAGTAGTGTATTTCATAATGAATACATACACTGATGTTGCAGCAAACTAATAAGGAAAAAATTAATATCTTCAGTAATAAATAATTCGATTTCTCAGTTGTGCGCCTCCATTTCCTCCAAGGTTCGTCCCCACAAGTGCCGATCGACCTGTGGATGACATTGAAAATAAAACAAAGTCCTTGGATCCAATAGCTGATGCTCCTCCTGACTACACTGCCATGTAAGTTCAGCAGATCCAAATCTGATGACCCTCCAGAGCATAATCCCCACTTTATATCAGTAAGTTAAATCTTCAGAATCTTTTCACCACTGCAGAAAATGACACTAAGGGTTAAGTTGCTTGTTTAACTAATTACTTTATTGTTTCAATAAATAAATATTGAGTACCTACTAGATGCCAAGTAGTTTACTGAATGTCAAGTAGAACATTCCTATCCGCAAAGAATTTACCGTCTCCTGGAGTAGGAAGTTCTGTGGAAATATGAAAAGAATGTGGTAGGGACACAGACAGCAGAGTAACTGACTGTGGGATTAAAGGGAAGGCCTAACTGAGGAAGGCAGGTTTTGCTGGCATGATAAGGAGTTTCTCAATCAAATAATGGGTGGGGAAGGAAGAATGTCTGGGGGAAAGAAAACAGGTCCAACAACAGGAGGTCATGAAGGCCTGGTGGTATGACTGGGACTTGATAAAGTCCTGCTTGGATCAAAAGACAGAAGGACAGAGCATGGGAGATAACACCTGAGTCTTCTGCTGATGAAGGAGTTTGCATCTTATCCTGGAGCCTGTGTGGGCTGTAGAAGCTTTTTGACAGGACATCCACACTTCAAAGCAGATACTTGAGTTTGTCTTTTATCACTTTCTTCCCAGCTTCGGGCACAGGGTCTGGTACATAACAGGTGCTCAGTAAATGTCCAGTGAGGAACTGATTGGATGTCTAATAAGATAGCTCTTGTGGGGGGAGGAGGTGGCACGTGGGTGGCTCAGTCCGTTGAGCATCTGCCTTCAGCTCAGGTTATGATCTTGGGGTCCCGGGATCAAGTCCTGCATTGTGCTCCCTGCTCAGCAAGGAGTCTGCTTCTTCCATTCCCTCTGCCCCTCCCCCTGCTCATGCTTGTGCTCTCTCTCTTTCTCAAATGAATAAATAAAATCTTTAAAAAATAAAAAAAGAAAGAAAGATAGCTCTTGGAGCCAATGTGAAGGAATCACTGGAACAGAGGGAAAGCTAGTTAAGAAGTTATTGCAGTCCTCCCATCTGGATGATGCTTAGAAAGAATGTGTGTAAAGAAGAGGCAAAAAGCTCACAGTTTGGAAAAAAATCACCAATGAGATGATTACAGAGATATTTCATTCTAGAAATAAGATCCGTGGAGCTCAGGTAGCCTCTGCCCCTGCAGTGTTTTCTGAAAACAGTAGAGTTTCCTTTTCCTTTTTTCCTCTGTGTATATGTTGTATAGCTGTAATCCAGTATAAACACTCAGTACTGGCTCAGTGCCTGCTAAATCCAGGGTCTTGACAATCCTGTATTATGGCCAAGTTCCATCTGGCCCTTTCTCCATATTTTACTTCATTCAATGTCTTATTTCTATGTCTTTCAGGTGACTTATTTTCCTTTTTTTTAAATGGAGGTATAACTCACATACATAAAATTCACCACTTCAAGTGTATAATTCAGTGTTTTTTAATATATCCACAGGGTTGCCATCATACTATCCCCCCCCCCGCCAGGACCACTTTATTTTTCAATTAAAAAAATTATAATGCAGATATTTCAAAATTCAAATGGTATAAAAGGACCTTGGAAATTCTCCAATCCTTGTGAGCAATGTTACTAGATGACAATCTTGTGTAACCTTTGGGGCCATATTAAACTCAATTCCTGATCTGAGATTCTTCAGAAAAATCCTAATTTGTTTTTTTGGTTTTTTGTTTTGTTTTTTGTATTTTTTTTTAGATTTTTTATTTATTCATTTGAGAGAGACACAGAGACAGAGATTTCACAAGCAGGGGGAGAGGCAGAGGGAAATGGAAAGGAACAAGTAGACTCCCCCACTCAGCTGGGAGCCCAATATGGGGCTCAATCCCAGCACCTAGAGGTCGTGACCCTTGCCAAAGGCAGATTAGGTGCTCAACCATCTGAGCCACCCAGTCACTCCAGAAAATCCTAATTTAAAGTGTGCTTCAAACTCATATCATCACTACTATTTAATCCAGATTATTTCCATCATGTCCCAGATAAGTCATATCCATTATCAATCACTCCACATTTTGTTCTTTCCCTAGCCCCTGGCAACCACTAATCTATTTATAGCTGTATAGTTTTGCCTATTCTGATATTTCATATAAGTGGAATCATAACATGTATAGCCTTTTGCATCTGGTTTTTTTCACTCAGAATATTGTCAAGGTTTATCTGTGTTGTAGCAGGTGTGCTGAATTGTATTTTATTGTATGAACACCTTGTTTATGCATTTATTACTTCATGGATATTTGAATTCTTTCTACTTTTTGACCATTATGAGTAATGCTGCTACATACATTGACTTTTTTTTTTTAATTTATTTATTTATTTGACAGACAGAGAGAGATCACAAGTAGGCAGAGAGGCAGGCAGGGAGAGGGGGTGGGAAGCAGGCTCTCTGCTGAGCAGAGAGCCCGACGTGGGACTCAATCCCAGGACCCTGAGATCATGACCTGAGCTGAAGGTAGAGGCTTAACCCACTGAGCCACCCAGGCACCCATACATTGACTTTTGATGGCAGACTATATCTTAAGTTTTAGAAAAAATTCTAACCTGTTGTTTCTTAAAGTGTAGCTTAATATACTAGGTCCATCAAAATAATGTGAATTTCTTTTGCTAATATAAAAATGCAGGACCTGGCCATCTATTGAATCAGAATCTCCAAGACAGATCCTGAAAAAGAAAAATATCCTATCTGGTTGGTTCTTATCAACAGCTAAGTTTGAGAAACACTTTTAATAATGTGTTTTCCAAACTGCAGATCCATCTGGCTATAAAATTAGGCTATAAAATTAAGCTAGTGATTCGCAATAAGTTCTTGAAACAAAAATGATAAGAATATTCAAAATAAGAAGATACAAATATAATCAAAGCTTCAGCCAGTTTACGTCAGGTCTCAGCTGAACTCTTCTGCTAACATAGAGTTGGTTTTATTTCATTTTAGCTAAAATCAATCTGTAATGAAATCTGAAAAATAAATTATTGGCCTTATCTCATGTATTTAGTTTTCAACCACAGTACTTTTTTAAAAAACTCTCTTTTTTCTGGGATCAGGAAGAGAGGATCTTTCTTGCTGTAGGCTTGGCTTTTCTTTACTTTTTGTTCTGGCCTTTCCTAGAAGTTCAGAGAAAGGCAACTGGGGTTCTCTCTCTCAAATGATTTCAGTAAAGGCTTTCCAATGCTAGGAATAACTTAGGAATTTATCAGAGCCCAGTTACTTATGTAAATTAATTAATTAATTATTTTAAATCCAAGAAAGTAAAACAAAACACGCCAAATCTGGTGGTAAAAGTATCCAGATTTTACTTTTTTAACACTATAGCTACATCTCAGTAGTATGGATACTCTCATATCTAAATGCTGTTAATTCTCCACATTGTTAGCAACCCATGTAAAATGCTTGTGAAATCCCTGCTTCTCCAGTGGATGGCGGGGGACCAGTCTTCCTTTCACAGAAAAGGGGGTGAAGTGCTCCTTGTTACTGCTAGTCAGGAGTTCAAGCTCCTTACTAAGCCTGCTCTGATCCATCCTGGCTGATTCTAAGCACGCTTCTTTTGAGACATTTGACATTTGATAAAAGAAGAAAATCTGAAGTCATACATCAGTGGTTCCCTCATACTAATTCATAATTTGAGTGCTTCTCTTTTTAAATTTTGTGATTCTTTAAAGAAATCTGATTTTCTTGACTGTGGTCTTATTTACATTGACCAAGCTGAAATTAAACTGACCCCTGGTTGAAAGAGAACAATGTGGAAACAGATGAGGATATAAAGAAGTGACTGGGCTAGCAACAATATAGCAGTCTTCAAGTCACCATTTTGAAGGTGAGATGTAAATTCAAATTCCAGTGTTACCACTTGCTATTTATATAAACTTAACAATAGTATAAAGAATATAAAAACAGAAATTTGCACACCTGAAACTAACATAATATTGTATGTTAATTATATTTCAATAAAAATATTTTTTTAAAGATTTTATTTATTTATTTGACAGACAGAGATCACTAGTAGGCAGAGAGGCAGGCAGAATGGCGGGGGGGTGGGGAAGCAGGCTTCCTGCTGAGGCAGAGTCCCAATCCCAGGAGCCTGGGATCATGACCTGAGCCGAAGGCAGAGGCTTTAACCCACTGAGCCACCCTGGCGCCCCCTTCAGTAAAAATATTTTTAATGTGAAAAAAAATAGAAATTTACATAGTGCTAAACTTATTTCAGTCCCTGGGCTAACTCTGCAGCAACCTTATGAGATTGGCATAGAGAGGCTATCAAATTATACTTCATCTCTTCAACCTTAGTTTTTGCATTTTTAAGGTGAGCATAACTATTTCATAAGGTTTAAGAGGATTAAATGAGTTAATAATCTCTACTACAATTTTGGTACATGGCATGTCCTTCCCTCAGAAAATGAAACCTCTTACTATTTTCAAGAAGCTGTCATGTGACCCATGTAATTTCCATGTAAAAATTTGTGCTAAGTTTCAATACAATGTAATTTCAATCATGTGTAATTTTTGCATTTGATTTTGGACACAGAGTCCCCAGTAGATATTGCCCTTTCATTTGCATACTACCCAGGAAGCTTGCTTATGAGATACTACAGTCCACATCAGCTCGGTACCTTCCCCTCGTACCAGCCAACTGGTGGCCCTCATAATATATAGTACTGGCCTGGCAGATGTCCATTGTTCAATCAGTCTGCTCCAACAGCATGGATGCCAGAGTCAATTCCTGTGCCAAACAGCCCTCATGGTCTGGAATACTTATTGGCTCAGGTACTCTATGCAACTCCAAATTATTTTCTTATGAAATATGACCTTGGGGACCCAATAAAAAGAGACACAGGCTGGATACAGCAGGTAAAGGTGGTAGGTCAGTGATAACAGAGGTCCACTTGTGAGACTATAGGAGCAGTGATACTGATTTCAGATATGTGAAGGGGGAGCAAAAGTATAAGAATATTTTCAGTAGGAAGAGTATGACTTTCATAAAGGATTCAGACTGAGTTGTAAGATATTCAAGATGTACTCCTGAAGGAAATTAGAAAAATAGGGTTAGAAAAAAAAGCTATCATAGATGCCAACTAGAGTGTCATTTACTTGGAAGTAAGAGTAAACATCAAGAAAGAGAACATAGGGTGCCTGGGTGGCTCAGTTAGTTAGGCTTTGGTCATGATCTCAGGGTCATGAAATGAAGCCTTGCATGGGGCTCTGCACTCAGCGTGGAGTTTACTTGCCTCTCTCCTTCTGCTGCTCCCCCTCCTGCTCTCTCCCTCCCTCATGAATAAATAAAATCGTTTTTAAAAAGACAACATGAAGGAACGGAACACTTAGTGACAAACTCATCAGGTGACTTGGCCCCTTGCTTTCCCCTGCCATAATTTTACCAGCTACTCTAGCCTACATAAAAACCTATTACCAAGTAAACATAAGGTGCCTACCAAGCACACATAGCTTCAAGCCAAGTCTGTGAGGCCTCTTCCCACAAAGTGGTGGTCCCCTAAATCCCTTCTGTATAAAAATTATGCAATTACTCTGAAACCTAGGTCATACAGTTGAGGGATAGGCAGATTTGGTTGTAAATTCAAATGGTATAAACTCAAAAAATTTACCTAGTGAAACTGAGATATATCTAGCATTCTTCTGTAAGCCTGACCTTCTTTGTCTTGGAAACAGGAGGTATTTAAGTTCATTATAAGCAAGGGACTCTGATTCAATACTTCACTCCCCACATAATCAATAAAATATTCCTTGAAGTTGACAAGTTCCTTTTGCAATTCAGTATATTAATCTTGTGCATTGAAAACTATCGATACACCACTGTCAAAATGATGTGTGAAATGCAGTACAATTGGATGAAGAAACTGGAATTTGTAGGAGCCAAAAATTTTACTAAACTGTCCCTTTGTAAAATAACTATAAAATACACATGAAGTCATTGAAGTGCTAGAGTAAACCCCTTCGTTATTTTAGAAGCTTACAGGATGCTTATAGTTAATAAATTTTAGGAAATCTTTTTATACTTGCACAATAATAATAATTTCTCCTTCTAAGTCTGGAGTCTCCTAGACCATTTCCCCATCTTTTTAAAATTGTACAGCTTTAAAGTTGTTTATTAAAATAAAAAACAAAATTGCTCAACTTCTTCCATTATCCTGATAGAGGTTAAATGATAGATATGATGGATTCACTGTTCCCTTTCCAAATTGGATGACTTAAGAAACAAAATTTGAAACAGATAAAAAATAAAACCAGGTTTAGAGCTAGACAATGTAGTTTTTAATTCTGTGTTTATTCCCTACTAGTTCTATAACCTTGAACAAATTTCTTAAATATTTGATGTTTCAATTTCTTCATCTACAAAATAGTATTAAATACTATCTCTTACCCTACTGGGCAGTTCTGAGAATTATCAATGTCTGATACAATTCCTGGCACCCAGGAAACACTGCATGGATGGGATACTGTAATGAGGCTACTTAGTTGAAATGCCTGCTTAGGTGTGAGTGGAAGGTATATACCCAGTCACTTTCCTCTAGCTTCTCCAGACTTTTGAGATCCCATTTGAAGGATATCACGACTCCTCAGAGGAATTCTGTCCAACACAGCAGGATTACGTGGTTTCTGAACTTTGACTTTGCCAGCAACTCCACTAGCTCCTTAAAGAATTGCTCCTTAATGGCCACTGTGTCTTATTAGGTAAACTTCTCCCATTTTTTTTTTAAGATTTTATTTATTTATTTGACAGAGATCACAAGTAGGCAGAGAGGCAGCAAGGAGAGAGACGGGGGAAGCAGGCTCCCCTCTGAGCAGAGAGCCCGATTTGGGGCTCTATCCCAGGACCCCACGATCATGACCTGGTGAAGGCAGAGGCTTTAACCCACTGAGCTATCCAGTCGCCCCAAACTTCTCCCATGTTTAAGGGCTTCATTTCTTTAGACTATTTTGCCTAGTGGTGGGCACTTTATGAAACTGAGTTTTTTTTGTCTTTTAGTCCTAGAGTTTAAAATCCTGGAATTTTTTAAATAGGACTGTAAACCATTTTGGGGGGCACTTTTGAAAAGTTATAAGAGATGTGTAGACCCCCTCACCCGGCTATGTTTTCATACAAGAAAAAGTCTTGAATTAAGTATGGACTGAGTTCTCCACTCTCTCATTGTGGGAATTCACAGTGCCCGGACAGACAAAATCTGACTTTTATCTGCCTCCCTGGATGGGACTAATAGAAAAGCAAAGGAGGATGCCCCGAACTTTGCGCCTTCTTGGAAGTTTCTTGGCTGAAAGCAGCCAGATTCTTACTGTTGCTCAAGGTTCTCATCTAGGGAGTAAATGTTGAAATTTTGAAGAAAAACAGGCACCTTTGGTGATCACGAACTTCACAAACTCCTTGCCTCCTCGCCCTTATCATTTGCTGCCCCATATATTATTATCCTGACCATTAAAGTTAGTTACACTTTCCTCCTGGCTTTGCACTTATACCTGGTGCATTGATAAGACCCCAATAAAAGTGTAGACAAAGCTTGGCTTGAGGCCTTTTGCAACTAGAGCGTCAGGCCCCAGGCCTCTCCTTTCTCCTACTAAGGTGTCTGGAGTAATCTGTTCATTCACCATCTCAGGGTTTGCTGGCCAAACCTGACATTTTATAATTAAGCACATGATTAAACATTCATGTCCAGTTAAGTCACTTTCAATTTTATTCATTTCAAAATCTATTCATTAACTTATTCAACAAATATTTAAGGAAATATGACATTTCAGCCAATGTTCCAAGCTCAGAAGTTAGGAATGACAGGAAATTGTGTAAGATAGGATCAGTCCGTCCTGGAGGAGTTTTTTTTCTCCGCTAGAAAGATTCAAGCATCTTGGGAGTAATCCCAAAGTAAAACTAAGATAAAAATTGTATCTAATGGTATTTCCAATTTCTGTTTTCAAGGGATCATATCCCAGAATGTGTCCTGTCCTTTGCCCTAATCCTATTTATGAGCTTCCTGCCCTCTTGGACCCTCCCCTAATTAAAAGTGAACACCTAGGGAAGAACGTGGTGTTTAGTAAACCAAGTGAATGGAATCAGTATGTTAATCTGTCAGAGGTACCTGTGAAATAACATAAAATTGGACACTTCTGTGTGAGGTTCACCCTGGCTGACTCCCTCTCCCTAAGACACTGAGACATTGCCTTCTCTGTGGCTGGTCCATGTTAAACCATCCTGAGCTTCCTGAGCAACACCAGTCTGTAGGTCATTGAGGCCAGTGAGTAGGGACTGAGCTAGAAACAATCTATGTCAACACAGCTTCTACATGCTGTTACTATAGCTGAAGGTGATTTTCTGATAGTTTATCAAAAACATTATTAAATTTTTTAGTCTTCTAGAGTATAACTGGAGGAAAGGGTTTTTCCTAACTAGACAGTTCTCCTTATATATGATCAGGTAGAGATAGGTTAATTTCACTTGATAAAATGTATTTGTAATTAATTAATTTACATTAAAGATATTTTAAAAATCATTGATACATGGCAATAAGTTCTATCAATTTCTTTTCTAGTGCTAACTTGTTTTAATTCTGTTATTTCTATCTTCCCTAATTACTTCTTTCTATCCCACTAGTTGGACAACATACACATTCTTCAGCATTTGAACCCCTGGAAAATATGTGTACTTCAGTGGTGATCAGCAATTTTAGAATCAATATTATTTGATACCCAGTTCTTTATTCATACTGATCATTTTTTAATGGTTCGAAGAGGAAAAACTGTCCTAGAAACTTAAAGAGGGAATTTTTTGTACAATTTTATTAATTTATAAATCATAGAATTTTGGATCTTAGATTGAAAAAGATCTTCTGTATTATCTGGTCAACGCCATTACACTTATTCCCTCTTTCCACCCCCCTTATTCATTTTATAGATGAGGGGAAAAAAAGAGCAGAGAAAATAAAGGACTTAGTGAGGGACCAGCAGAATCTAGATTTGCTAGAAGGATAAAGAAATGAGCATGGTAAACATGAAGCTTGTCCTCTGTTTATAGGAAATTATTCCTGACCCGTAAAGCAACAATTTTACACATTCCTTTGGCTGTATGTAAGGCCTCCAGCTCTTCTTGGTTCCTTTTTCTGTTTGCAGTTTGTAATGACCATCTTACCGTATTTCATGAGCTGACTCACTTGTGATGCAATCTGTAATTTCATTAAAGTATTTTTATAACTAAAGTTTTCTGAATACAGGTATTATATAAGACATGATCATCTTATAAAAGATGTTTTCAATCTTTTCTGTTACATGAATAAACATTTTAAAATCATCTTGCTCTGAGCTTAAAATAAATGTTTTAAATCCCAATGCTTATAAGGATTGCTTGTGATCACCAAGACAGCATGGTACTGGCATAAAAACAGACACATAGACCAGTGGAACAGAGTAGAGAGCCCAGATATGGACCCTCAACTCTATGGTCAGTTAATCTTCAACAAAACAGGAAAAAAAATACAGTGGAAAAAAGACAGTCTCTTCAATAAATGGTGCTGGGAAAACTGGGTAGCTATATGTAGAAGAATGAAACTCGACCATTCTCTTACAGTGTACACAAAGATAAACTCAAAATGGATAAAAGACCTCAAAGTGACACAGGAATCCATCAGAATCCTAGAGGAGAACATAGGCAGTAATCTCTTCGATATCAGCCACAGCAACTTCTTTCAAGATATGTCTCCAAAGGCAAAGGAAACAAAAGCCAAAATAAACTTTTGGGACTTCATCAAAATCAAAAGCTTCTGCACAGCAAAATAAACAGTCAAGAAAACAAAGAGGCAACCCACGGAATGGGAGAAGATATTTGCAAATGACTGTACAGACAAAAGATTGATATCCAGGATCTATAAAGAACTCCTCAAACTCAACACACACAAAACAGATAATCATATCAAAAAATGGGCAGAAGATATGAACAGACACTTCTCCAATGAAGACATACAAGTGGCTATCAGACACATGAAAAAAAAATGTTCATCATCACTAGCCATCAGGGAGATTCAAATTAAAACCACATTGAGATATCACCTTATACCAGTTAGAATGGCCAAAATTAATAAGACAGGAAACAACATGTGTTGGAGGAGATGTGGAGAAAGGGGAACCCTCTTACACTGTTGGTGGGAATGCAAGTTGGTGCAGCCTCTTTGGAGAACAGTGTGGAGATTCCTCAAGAAATTAAAAATAGAATTTCCCTATGACCCTGTAATTGCACTACTGGGTATTTACCCCTAAATATACAGATGTAGTGAAAAGAAGGGCCATCTGTACCCCAATGTTTATAGCAGCAATGGCCACGGTTGCCAAACTGTGGAAAGAACCAAGATGCCCTCCAACGGACGAATGGATAAGGAAGATGTGGTCCATATACACTATGGAGTATTATGCCTCCATCAGAAAGGATGAATACCCAACTTTTGTAGCAACATGGACAGGACTGGAAGAGATTATGCTGAGTGAAATAAGTCAAGCAGAGAGAGTCAATTATCATATGGTTTCACTTATTTGTGGAGCATAACAAATAGCATGGAGGACATGGGGAGTTAGAAGGGAGCTGCGGGAAATTGGAAGGGGAGGTGAACAATGAGAGACTATGGACTCTGAAAAACAATCTGAAGGGTTTGAAGAGGTGGGGGGTGGGAGGTTGGGGGAACCAGGTGGTGGGTATTAGGGCACGGATTGCATGGAGCACTGCGTGTGTACAAAAACAATGAATACTGTTATGCTGAAAATAAATTTTAAAAATGATTAATAAAAAGGATTATAAAATATTTTGATGTTCCAAGCAATTGCATATGCTTCAGTGAAATTTTGAAAAAGCTTTTTTTCTTTACACATGAAGAAATGCTATATGAATACTCGAGGCCCATCTTAACTGCTTCTAATTTAAAGTGTCTTTCTCATTTTTTTTTTTTTTTTAGTGATGACACCTTTTGAAACCAATAATAGATATGATATTAGAAACAATCTGGACCCAGTGGTTTACACCGTAACTGAAGACACAGACAACTTTACCAGAAATGCTTATCGGACTCTAAGGCCCTTTGTCCTCCGGGTCACCGACTGTATGGGCCGAGAAATCATGACAATGCAGAGACCTTTCAGATGCACCTGCTGTTGCCTCTGTTGTCCCTCTGCCAGGCAAGAGGTCAGAGAATGCAGGTCTTATCCCTGGTTTCTTCCTGATCCAAGTCTTCACAGCATCCTTGTGCTCCTTCCAGAATGACACAGGAGGGGATTTTCACTGGCTCTGATGATCAGAATGAAAGAAGAGTGTGGGGCGGGGGGAAGCCTAATTGTCTTACCCAAGGAAAAGCGCAGAGGGCTTTTTCTTGTGGATTCTTGCCTTCTAGTGCTAGTTGGGGGGTCAAGCACAAATTAGGGTTATTTATTCAGTGACCATAATTCTGTCAGTTGTGTCTAGTGAATTGGAAATGTATTTATGACCTAAAACAGAAGTCACACACATTTGTTTAAATGTAGCTATGTATCTGCAGATAAGATGTCGCTAGACATCATCGAATACTTTTAGAATTGGAAGAGAGCTTAGATGACTTTACACCCAAGCCAGTCCACACTTGCCACAGATAAAGAAGGGGTGGCTCAGAAAGATGGAGTGCCTGGTGAGGTTACAGTCCCCTGAAGGCCGGACCTACAGAGCAGGCATTCTGAGTTACAGTTGGGTTCCTTGTCTACAACCCACGTGGCTCTAGGAAGGCTGTTTGCTGCAGGGAAAGAAGCAGCTTTAGTGAGAGGTCCACCAGAATTTTGAATTCCAGATATGTCACCTACTTAAATTGTACAATTTACTTAACTTCTTTGGGCCTCAGTGCTCTGGTACATAAATATGCACAATACCCCATAGGATTCCTGGGATATTTTAAAGACATAGTAAGTGCCAGCACATACTAAATGTTAATTTATTTACAACCTTTTCTGTTTTGATTTCTTATAAGATGGAGGTAATAATAGTATCTGTACACAGGATTGCTTTGAGGATAAAATAGTAAATAAATGTTAACTGTTCATTACAGTACCTGGCAGATAGTACAGTGCTCAGAGAACGTTGTTCCCAGGTATCTTACTCCATCATTACTGTTTTTGTATTTATAGTCTGATATTTGAGATGAATCTTCACTTTTAATCCTTAATCCTTTTGGATTCATATTCATGAGTTGGGTTTTCTTCTCAAATTGTATAAATGCAACCTCCCATGATTAAAGTAAGCCATGATGTAGTAAAGCTAATCAAAATTATAAATTTACTCAATTTATAGAACATTTATTTCATGATAGATTTTTTTCTCATTTCTCCAATTTTACTTGTATTCCTGTGTGTGTGTGTGTGTGTGTATTCAGTTCTCTGAGGTTTGATCACCTGTGTTGATTCCTGTGTCCACCACACAATGCAGATACCTGACAATTTCATCACTAAAAAAATCCCTTTCATAACCATGCCCGCAATAGACTTAGAGAAGGAACTGGCTGTTCCGTAGCAAGGGACAAGCAAGTCTCTCCTGTGCCCTGAAGAAAAATGTGACTTCATTCCTCAAGGTTGCTCCCTCCTATGACAACCCCAAGAAATGGCCAAGGGAAAGAGCAGTCAGAGCCTTGCTTTGCTTCCACACACAGCGAGAACTTCAGAAGTATGAGAGGCCTGTGGAGGACTCTCTCTCTCTCAACAATTTCCTTAGTCCTTAAAAGTTTTCAGAGCACATCTAGGTGGTGTGTGCACATATACATCGATGCATAGCTTCCTCCCCTCTCTCACTTCCTCATTTGCAGCTGAAGGTACCGTGTCCTCCCGGTGTCACCATTGACATTGTGGCAGAACACTGGAACCTGTGCAGGGCAGTTTACAGCATCCAGAATGAGAAGAAAGAAAATGTGATGAGAGTACGTGGGCCATGTTCAACCTACGGCTGTGGTTCAGATTCGGTTTGAGGTAACCTAATGGTAAAATAATGTTTTTAGAGCTTTTTTTCCTCCATGGACTGACCAACTTCAGAATGATCCTGTTACAGTGTACTTTTCCATGTAATTGAAATGAGGTTTACAACATCACTTATAAAATAAATAGAGCAAGCATGATGAAATAATTGTAAGCTACTGTGCTAGGTATTAAGGAAATGCAAAGATGTACAGAATAGTCCTCTGTCCCTCAGCAAGTGTAAAACAAGTCAATATATAATTATAGTATGAAGCTCAACAAGAATTCTTGGTGTAAAATAAATGCAATTTATCAGTTTGCACGTACGTATCACATGGTTCTCACTACCACACCATGAGCTAGGTGTCAATATTATTGTTCAGAGAGAAAGCTGAAATTCATCAGGAGTTAATAGTAAGAAGACAGGGTGCTGAGGAACTTCTTCCCTCTGATGTAATTGTAATGAAGGGAGCTGGAAAGAAAGGGAGAGACATGAGAGCTCCTGGAGGAGGGGAAGCAGAACAGGTGGAACTAGCTAACACGAGCACTTGAAGAGCTGATGGGTCTCAAAGGCCCAGCAGAAGCCTGGGGTCCTAACCCTGTTCTCCCAGGTTCTGGAGGAGGCTGGTGGTCAGTGTCCACTTGTGTGTGTGGTGGCAGTAGGGGAAGGTGCTGGGGCTGGGATGACTGTGAAGCATCCACTCTTTTTTCTTTTTTAAAATTTTATTTATTAGGGAGAGAATGAGAAAGAGAGAGCACAAGCAGGGGGGGAGGGAGAAGTAGGCTCCCCGCTGAGCAGGGAGCCCAATGCGGGGCTTGATCCCAGGACCCTGACCCTGGCATCATGACCTGAGCTGAAGGCAGATGCTCAACCGACTGAGCCACCCAGGCACCCCTGGCACATCCACTCTTGAGGTAAAAGCCATCTTCAATGTACTCAACCATGTGTGTGTCTTAGAGGAGTTTAATGTGTAAAATTTTCTGGAGTTTGAAGAACCAAAACATGTGTATGTTAACATAATATTTATAGTTAATTTATAGTTAAGTGTAGTTAACATAACATTTACAAATCACAAAAATGATTTACACTGGAAATCTACAAAAAAGTATAGTTTTAAACAGAAACAAAAAATAAATAGCAAGTTCTATACACATGTTCTATAATTATGTAGCATTATGGTTGCCCATTAAATTTTCTTTCAGTTCTTAGTTCTGCTGCCTCTCAACCAGGAAGCCAGTCATGTGAAATCATATAATTTTGTTACATATGGTTTCTAGGTTTACCTCAAGATTTAATTCTAGGCCAGACAGATAGGCATCTGGGTAAATTTGGAGAAGAATCAGCCTAACCATGGAAGAGCTGGGATACTCTAATCAGTGACCCACAACTGCAGTGACGCTAATGATGATAAGAGCAGCTGTCCTTTTCAGGGCTCCCTGTCTTCAGGCGTGGTTCTGGTCCTATCTGCTTCCCACATATGAACTCATTTAATTCTTATAAACAACCTGTAAGGCAGATGCTATGATAATTTGCCTTTCAGAAAACTGAGGTTAGAGATCTTGTGCAAAGTTAGTCACAAAGCCATTATTTGAAAGTGGTTCCAGAGCCTATGCCCTAAACCACTATGCCCTGTGCCTCTTTCATTTCTGTGATGTTTCATCTCTTTGTGTGTGAACATAGGAGAACAGAAATAGAGTGAAATGGTGGTGGGTTACTTCATGTGCTCTCAAGTTTAGGATCATGGCTGAGAAGCCAAGAAGGCTCCAAGAACATCTTGCCTGAGGGCGTGCTCTCCTGAGAGGCTTGATTTTGCTTCTGTTGGGTCCCAGTGATGTAACAAACAGAAGACCATTTTTTAATGTTATTCTGTCAGTTTGGTGTTTCCCAAGTCATGTGTATATTTTAAATATTGAGTACAAATATTGATTATGAATTCTCAGTGGACAAAATTTTCTCTACCTCTAATACAGGCCAAAAAAGTCAAGCTTGCTTGCTTGCTTGCTTTTTTTTTTTTTTTTGGAGTCTATATTTTTAAATTTTTTTTCTTAGTATGTTTAATTAGCCAACATATAGTACATCATTAGTTTTTGATCTAGTATTCAACAATACATTAGTTGCATATAACACCCAGTGCTCAAGCTTTCTTTTAGTCCTTGTTGTGTAGTCTACCCTTATACTGGGTTGTCTCCCTTTGAGAGTTCCCACCTTATTGAGGATCTATAATATAGGACATTCATTGCTCAGGCCCAAAGCCCCACTACTGCCTTGCCTGATTGGGGAAATCAAATCCCTTTACCAAGGAAGATTGGCACCCCAGAGAAGCCAAAGAAAGTGTCAGCCTCTATGTAACACTCGGGATTTTCAGACTTTTTCCTTTTGCTCCACAGATTTCTCTCTCTTAGGAGCTTGGCTTTGCATGTAAATAGGCTTTAATATATACTTTAGTCAGCACTTTTAGGTTTTCACATTATGCACTTTGCAACATTGCCAAAAATGGAAGGGACAAAATTGTTAAAAGGGTTCACAGATTTTAGGGTCAAAGGCATAAGAATGTTCAAACATCAGTATAACAATTAAAATAATTTTTCTTGTGATTAGTGGTTGGCAATAGCTAAAAAGATACTCCTTTGTTTTCTATTTAAGATGACAGATATGGTGTTTTTGCCATATGGAACTCATATGGAATTCGAGATCCTCTGAAAATGTTTATTTTATGAGGTAAAACATCATTCAATTAATATTATAGCAACTGTTTTATAATCCAAGGGACAGGAAAATTTATCTTGGAAAAAATGCTGAAACCATGTTTTTCATGAAAGTTTCAAGAGCATGTTTGCTCAGTTGTCTTAGGTAATAGTATTTGAATGCTGTTTGTTCTCTTTTGTTAAAAATAAAAAAGATTTAGAATATAAACAATTTTAGAAACTCTTGTTTATGCAAGGATAGGGAGATATGAGGAATGCTGTAGAGAATAATTAAAATGACAAAATACTTATCTAGTTTTTTAAATTAATTGCTGCTTGCTGCCTTTTGCCCTCCTCACCATAAAACTGAGGAAAACAAGCCTTAAAGGGGGGAGGTACTAGCTTATAGCTTTCTTTATTAAAATATGCTCATTTCTTAGCCAAATTTATTACATCACTAATCAATACATTTTAATGAATAGAACCAAAAGATTTCAGAGCTAGAAGGAACACGAAGGACTCTGCTCTATATTCTAATATGAGAAAACTGTAAAGACCTAGTTCATGTATGCAGAGTTATACTAGAAATCCAGAACTATCATTTCAAATCCCCCTTTTTTGTCCAGTATTCTTGCAACCACATCTCAAATTTAAGAGATTTAAAACATTTCAATGTACTATCTTTTCTTTCTTTTTTTTTAATTTTATTTATTTATTTATTTATTTGAGAGAGAGATAGTGAGAGAGAGCATGAGAAGGGAGGTCAGAGGGAGAAGCAGACTTCCCATGGAGCTGGGAGCCTGATGTGGGACTCGATCCCAGGACTCCGGGATCATAACCTGAGCTGAAGGCAGTCGCTTAACCAACTGAGCCACCCAAGTGCCCCTGTACTATCTTTTCTAACAATGACCTTTCAATTGAAAAAAAATTTAAACTGTCTCAAATTTTTCTAATACTCTAAATTATTTTTAAGCACATGCTAACAGAGTTCATCTCAATACTTCAGACTAATACCACCACAATCTTCTAACCATGAAGGAAGAACTAAATTACCATGTTACAAAAATTAAAACATTTAAAATGTCTAAATCATGGATGACATAAAGGTTTATTTTATTTCGAACACTGATACACTTAGATTGTTCTTTTCATAGATGTCATTAACATTTAAGTTTAAGTTCTCTTATTGTATCTGTTCTTAGATTTTTTTTCTGGTTAAAATGTATTCAGCATTTGATATATTCACTTGTCTTGAGGAAATGTAATTGCTGGTAGCACAAGGAATGTCAAATGAGCAGAGATAGAACCCAGTCATTACCTTGATTTAGGGAAAGGCAATATGTCTAATGGGCAGTTGGATACAATTCTTCCCAGATACAGCCTGGCCTGACTGTTGTTCTGGGAGAAGTCATGACTAAAGTGGAATATTTTATTCAGGGGTCTGGCAGATTCACAGCCAACTATGAAAATTCTTCTGGGTACTGTTCCTTAATTTCCTCCTTCCTTGAGTTCATTTTTTAATTTTTCCATCAAATATAACATTTCTACTCTTCTCTGTGTTTTCTGTTATCTGCATATTTCTTTCTGTTCTGTATTTGGTCGTATATTTCTGTCTACATGTAATTTGTGCCACTTGTTGAAGATACGGCCGTGGGACCTGCCTGAACAGGGAAATCAAGGTGAGACTGTGCTCTTTTCTTCACTGATAGCTTTTAATTTTCTAAGAAAAAAAAAATATGTTCATAGTTTTGGCATTTTGAGAGACCACTTTATAATACTGCTGCTCTTCGGCCGTGAGTAAAATCCCTGAGAGATAGACATAGGAGTGAGAAACACATCATTTTTGTACTGACAGAGCTGTTTAGAGGACATGGCTACACTCTGGCAACCATAGCTTTGCAGAAAAGATACAGATTGAGAGTTACTTCCCAGTCTCAGGCAGAGGCAAACAACCCTAGTCCTTTCTTGTGGAGGCCTGACACCGCAGACTGTTCTGTGGAGGGGCTAGGAATGTGTGCTCTCTGCAGAGAGGCTGCCTCTCCGAAAGGAGTCAAAGATAAAGAGGGCTGAACTACTCAGATCCAGTGTCTTCTTCCCAACCCAAGAGGCCAGCAGTTCATCCCTGCTCTCTGGGGCAAGCAAATAAGGGGACAGAAAAAGGTCAAGTGTATTTTCTAAAGCCAGTGTCTCTATCTGGACATTTCAGGAGTGGAGAGGAATTGTGGTAGAAGCTAGTCCCTAATTGAGCTAGTCCCTTAAGTCTCTCCTCTTCTTCCATAATATTATAACCTGTGTTTTCACGGACTCCACATGAAACCTGGAATAAAGAGAATATTTGCTACCCTCCCATGCAGCTAGGTGTGTTCATGTAGCAAAGTTTTGGTCTATTAGAAGTGAACTGTAGGAACTACTTTAAAAGCTAAGTGATACACACTATTTGCCTCTCCTTAATTTTCTCCTCATTCCAAGTAGAGATATCTCAAGAGAGGTGATATAAGCTGATCTGGGAAATGAAAACTATGAACAGTAGAGCAAAAGGTAGGAAAAGTCTGGGTTCTTAAGGACTGTTTAGAGCTAATAGAGCTAGCAGAGAGATATCTTGTGATTTCTAGGCTACCCAATCGCAGACTTTTATGTAAGAAAGAAATAAAAGGTCTTATTCCAGGTCCCTGTTCCTTGCACCTAAACATAACATGAAAAGATGTCTCTTAACACACTTTAAAAAAAAATACATAAATCATGGGCC